TAAAAATATGTACGCTTTTATTACATTTTTCGAATCTTTTGGTTTGCTGGGCGGTTTTTGAGTGTTTTCATATGGGAATTTACAATTATTAATTGGTTGAAATTAAATTAAAGCAATTAAAGCTTTAAGTTCAGACGAGGTAGTAGAATAACAACAACAACAACCCATATTGAATCCCAGACATTAACGCATACAGTTTCAATATTAAAAGCGACAAAAACGGGGTTGAGAGGCTTAACGAACAAACTGAGAATGAAATTTTGACTTCAATTCGATGACGTAATCGTGTGTTGTCAGCATGAAGTTGCATTATTTTCTATTATTGTTTTTTGTTTACTTGCAATTTATCACTTCAACAAAAGCTTTGGTACACAAACACATTCAGCTTTACGACTTTATAATATCGAATGTGAAAAGCCTCTAACTCACGTGTGGGGGACTGGTAACTTTGCGTTTAATCACATACTTCGAGATCCAATGAACAGTACTCCTTTAATTTCTTTATAAAATAAATTTTTTTTTGAAGTTTTTCTTTTTAATAAAAATTAGTAGGCCCGACGTTGAATTTTTTATTCCAATTGGTGTTGCAAAGAGCGATCAGTTTTATTAATTTTTGTCGATCCGTAGGTAATTCCTTGGAGGTAAAGAAAATATTATTTATATTTTGCACAAATTGAACTTTGTTCCATGCCTTTGGTCGATTTCCAGCACACAAAAGCATAGCACTTAGGAGTATTTCCCAAAAAATTAAACAAAAACAAGTCATGGAAATGCAATTTTTTTCAAATAGAACCACTTCTCTTAAAAATAATTGAAGCAAAAAGAAGCTATGAATACTATTTTTTCGCAAAAAAAAAAAAAAAAAAAAAAAAAAAAACATACAATTCTTTCGAATAGTTCAGTCCCTGGTCCACTTTACGGAGATAAGAATAGCCTTCATGTTAACCTAAGCAACAGGCCGGCAATATAACGATTCTCAAATGAATCGATGCTTAGATAGATTTTTTTGATCCACTTCGTACAAACATTTCCAGAACCCTTAGAAACAAACTGACACAATTTCCTAAGTCAGTCGGACGGGAACTTCGAACACATACTAACACTTCTAGTCGCACATACATATCCAAGAATTGCCTTCGAGCTATATGTTGACCCCAGCGCACAGCTATTGAGTGCACGTCAAGCAATGGGGGAGTGGTTATGTATTTATTCTTCTGTCTTTTTAGCGCACAAAAATCATCTTAAACAACAAAGTTACCATTTTTGCATACACAATTATTTCCTTTATCAGCGCAATGCACTGTACTCAATATGAAATACATACATATATCTGTATGTATGAGTACATATTCTGCATATATGTATGTATGTATTATATATGTAGTTGTTGGAAAGAAGTACGCATATAACACAGACTTTTTTATTTTAAATTATTATAAACCACAAATATGTGTGTGTACATATGTAATTAACACAAATTTCTTTATTTTAAACTTTTAATTGGATTTTTTGTTTTAACATTCCAACTGTAACAAACGCTTAAGCGCTATTAATAAGCGTCTACACTCCGTGAATAGTTAGACCGGCACTGTTTGCTCACATGAATTTACGTCAATATTTTTTTAAAGCAAATGCTTTTTCTAATAAAAAATATATATATATATGCGCACATTAGTATATATGTATTTATGTAGTTCACTTGAAAATATTTGTGTCACTAATTGTGGGGTAAAGGTGCCGAAAGCGATAAGAACGTCTTTCGAAATCCACTCCAAAACGCTGCCAGCTGCTGAGGTGGAGTGTGAGTATATCTATCATGAGAGCATATTGTTGTCGTTACATCAATACATTTGTATATATGCACATATTACTTTCGTGAAGAGAGAGAATTCATAAACTTAAATACGGATCTATGGCTAAAAACTTTAAATCTCAAAAATTGGTTGAATATATGTTGGGGACCGAGTGGTTGTCTGATTGCGCCGGTTCCTCTAATAAATTTTCAAAACATCGAAATTTTTTTCTTCTCTAAATTGCTAGAAAACACTATATTAATGGCTTTAGCGGCGTTTCATTTATTTTAGATTGAAAAAGATTGCCGGCGTGAGGTCATTTTTTTTTTAACTAAGTAAAATTCGTTGCCACACAGTGGATCCACTTTCTATTTCGCCAGTTAGCAGATTAAAATATAGTTCACTTTCTAATCTTTAGCTGTGTTCGGTGAGATAATTTAGTAAGAGTTAGAAGTAATGTTAAAATTGCGCTCTCAGGGTCTGAATTTTACTGGTTTTTGGTTTATTGATAGCGATTCAATAAATATTGGTAACAATCCTTACTGCCCATTAACTAACCGAACAGCACTGTTATTTTAGTTATTGAATCAGCTGATTGAATGTATGGCGAAAATAAGCACAGATTTCGTCATATTTTTAATTGTGTTCATTTGTAAATTTGAGAACTTTCGTTGGCTTATCAGCAGGGTTTGCTCTGATAAGCAAAATTGAAAACGCAAAGATATCGGAAAATTATTGACGAAAAGAATTTACTGAGGTTGAGGTTACTTTTAAATACATATGTATATCGTACACTCATTCAAAAAAAAAAAAAAAAAAAAAAAAAAAAAAAAAAAAAAAAACGTAAAATAAAAAAAAAGCGTCACAACTCCAAAAATTTCAAATGGTCCCAGCAAACCAAAAGACAGTTGACGCTGTTCAAGCTAAGCGAGTAACATGAAAACAGGCATAACATGACACTAGCAGGCCTATTTTCACTTTTACCGGCAAAGTATTGTAAATTTTGTTACTTTTTTTAACACCCGAAATTCGATTTGGTATTCTAGCGAACTGGTTACAATGTTTGAAAAACATTTGGCAGCACTGCCTTTTTCGTCCATGTCAAAATTTACTGAATGGTAAACTTTAGTACCAAAGTAAATTTTGTTACCTCGACAGAATAGGCCTGTCGACGTGTTTGCTCAGAATTATTTTACCTTGCCACTTAAAAGAAATTCAACTTAGAGGTTTTTTAATCACTTTTGGGTTACCTACTAATAACTCATATTTGTTTAATGCAGTTTTTCTTAGGCGATAAAAGTAAGATTTCTTTAATTATTTATACATAAATTAGAAAGAATTCAAATTTTTTTGAATTTCCTTTTTGATTTTCTCGACTAGATGTGAAACGTTCGAGGTTTGAGTCAAACCATAGGCATTCCCTTGGAAAATTATCTGCTAAGGACAGCCTTCACCAGAAGGGTTAACAGTAGATGTTAAGATGAAACCACATGCAATGCTTAAAGTGGACAGAACTAGGCCCTACTCTTTCTAAACATGAGCTCCATAAGCATAATAGTCAGCGTAATAACCACATGTGGGAGGACTCATAGAAGAGCAATGGTCTGCTTTTCAAATAATTTTTGTTGCAGCCGAAGGGACATAGGGTAGAAACAAACGGTGGCCCTTAGTGCGGCCGGTTTACCGTTTCTCTGAAATTCCTTCTTCCTCTGCCTCGCAGATCTTGTATCTATATACGAGTATAACATTAATCTCCTGAACTTCATAACTGACTAGAATTCCAAAATTCAATATGTTTAGCGGTTAAATTTAATTTAAACAAAATATATATAAATCTGATAGACTGGCTTGAAACGTACATTATGTGCATAACGAATTTTTTCAGTCAGGGAAGACTGCGATTTAAAAGAATCTTTTGCATGTGTTCTCTGAAGCGAGTCGAGCTACTCCTCCAATTTGAAGTTCTGCGTCTTGAGGTTTTACTTACTAATGGAGGGACTTACAGTTTATACTAAGCTGGCTGATGGTGTTTTTACGTCTTTATTTCCTGTCCGAAATACACTCGGAGGGGTGGACATTCCTTGCCGAGGGGCGACCGCAATTAAAGAATTTAACTTAATTTTTTATTTAAATTAGGATATGAACCCGAGCCTTCCAAATGTCAGTACGCAATGCTAACCACTCGGCTACCGAGGCCGCGTATATATAGAACATTAATATATATTAGGGCAGTCCGATATTTCTTAGATATCTCACTAATCCGAGTTCAGCTGGTTCATAGAGGTACAAGAAAAGTCTGAATGGCTTATACGGCATTTCCACGGCATCGTGAATTATATTATTCTCTTAATTACGAAAGCGAATTACTCCATTCACAAGACCAGCAATTTGACACGTTTTCTGTTCCGTGAATTCCGACAAAAAAAAATTGCATTAGATTAACACATTCAATGAAAACTATACTCTTTATCTTTTTATCTTGCTCTGCTTATAATTTCAACTTGCTTAATATTCGCCTGGACATTAGAGTTTTGTGTTTGGTTTCGAATAAAGGTTTGTGTTTTAGTGTTTTCTTTTATGATTTTAACCTATTTTGTTTTGATTTGTCAGCTAAGGATGATTTCGACAAGAATAGGAGCGAATGAAGAAGGCAACGATTTGGTCGTAATTCGTATGGTAATTGGGAATGAATTAATCACTTTTAGTGTAATTCGCTCTCAAGATTGCCTATTGAGTTGGGCTAAACTAAGCGAGGTTACTCTATTTTTCAAAATTGTGTAAGGTTAGGTAACTCCGGCGACTTGCCTGGATCGGAGTCGAGTGTGTATTAATAGAAGTTGAGACAACTACAGTCTCCAGACCTCCGTTGTGTCAGTCATACTTCGGCTCGAAGTGATTCTGCTACAAGCAGGTGATGGCAAGGATGTTTTTTGTGGTTGTGGTCTTTATACCCGAACGACGCGGATATTTACCAAAAAATGAAGGATGAGCTCTGCCAAATATGGCTACAGCATTTATAAAGCGTCAATTAATAAGATATAGCGAACGCTATGATTAAGAAAAGCAAAAATGATACAATTCTAGGGCAAAAAAAACTTTGAACTCATATTTATGTGGTTCACCTGTCATCATTTGCGAAACGGAAATAATATAGAAACTGCGTGATTTATGTAAGATTACAAAGAAATGAATGCATTCTGAACTTACCAGCAAATCCGGTTCACTGTTGATGCCGTCTGGGATGCGTGGCACCATTGCCTCCTCATTGTCACGCAAATCCTGCAAACTTTTCCAAACATTCGTATCGAAATTGCCTGCTGTAAGGGTCGATGTAGGTGGCGTAATATCCGATGCTTCAAACCCGAATGAGTGACGTTTATTTGGCCCAACAATGGCTCCAGAAGCCGCATCAGCATGTGAATCATGAGTGTTGGGTAAAATTTGGCAAGCTGTTTGGGCCGGTAGTGATTGTCTGGCATTTCGTGCTCGTGATAGACAATCCTGCAACAATGCATATACTTGACTGGCAGTGGGACGTTGCTTCTGATGTTGCATTGCTAGCATACATGCGGCTGGATGTAGGAAAAGATGATCGTCAGCAGCGGAACAACTTATGGTGGAGGCAGAGGGTGCTGTGGAGTGCAATGAAATATCATCCATGGACGCGTGTGGTGCGATGATCGGGTGTTGATCCAATGTGGCTGCTTCGCCATCGTCGGCGCTACGTTCGACCAATGTCAACACGTCGTCACAGGAGCGTGTTGTTTGCAGCGAAGTTGCTGGACTCTTGATTAAATTGAAGTTGGCAAGCAGATTTGGCCGTACAGCTTGTCCGCGTGAGTTGCTTGTGGATGGTGAATCAGCATTTTCCAGTAGTGCACTTTCTTCAGGCATTGCTCGAACTACTGCTCGTCTTTCTGTAACGTTATCATAATTATTGAAGATGGCCAAAGGACGTGCGCCCATCGGACGCATGCGCAACTCAGGAGCGCCAGGAAAATCGACTACAAGTATACGATCAGATATATTATTGCAATCATTATGAAATCCGATGCCAGAATCCGAATTAGATGTAGTTGTAGACATTTCACTATGATTACTGGGCTGCGGTGAATGTGCAGCTGCTGCTGGACCGCCACCTCCACCGCCATAACCGTTAACAATATCATCGCCTGCACGATGTCTAATAACCGGTGGCATAATGCGCATTGTGTACATGCTGCGTATTAGATTCACGACATATTCTGAATTGTTTGGGAACTCTAGACACAAGCTCGATATGGGATCGCGTGTGCAGTGAATACGAAATTCGGCTGCGCGTGGCACATGCGCCTGGTGTTCACACAGTTTTGTGTCCACAACAAAAACATGACAGCTATTCGAAATACTGATATGTGCGTTGCCATTATTGCCACCTGCAGCACCTACAACTGGATTGCGTACATTCAAGTCATCATCATCTTCGTCTTCCTCGTCCATTTGTGAAGTGTGTATGGCGCTTGTTACCAAACCGAAAAAGCGATTCTCACTTTCGGATGATGAGCTCACATAATTCAATCGTTCAGAGGCATAACTAGCAAGTGTATTGCCATTGGCTGCTTGTAGACGAAGGCAGTCGGGTAGTATAGTCATTAATACCATATTTGGTTGACGCTTTTCCTGACGCAATTTGCGTATACAAGAGCGCACTGTCTGTAATTTAGAACTGTGGGAAATCTGTTTAGGCATTTCAATTGTACCCAAATAACCGACTATGGCTCGATATTCTAACGCAGCGGCTGGGGCACGCGCCATTGCATTAACATTTGCAAGATCGGCAGCAGAGTTGGACGGCGCTGCTATGCCAGCTACGGCTACCTTTGGCACGCTACTACTTGGCAATGCATATACCGGTCCAACGGCTGGCAAAGGGAGATCCTCTATTAGTGGACGCAATTTTTGCAACTCCATGGGCTTTAACGCTGACACACATTTCGATAATTGTTCAGCACGTGCCAATTGTTGTTGTTGATGTAAGCTTACTGTTCGCTTCTTTTGTGGTGAATTGCGTAATCGATGCATCTTTGCTTTGTGATGTAGAAAACGTGGTTTGCTCCGTGTCCCAGCGGCACTTAAGCCCAATTGGTTTGCGAGCACACCATTCAATCCTGATACTGTCGTTTGCTGTTGTAACATAAGCGCGGCATTTTCCTCATCCGAACTATCGGAGTAGTAGTTCTCGGCTATTTGCATGCGTATGCTGCCAAACGAGTTCCCGATAAGCTGTACAACAGTTTCGTGCGGTAGCTTGGATACATTTAAACCGTTAACAGATATTAAAAAATCGCCGGCACGCAGCCCTGCTTGATCTGCCGGCGAATTGGCAACTATACATGAGAGGCGACAGGGTTGTTGGCCAGATATGGTGAAACCGAATCCATTATAACCACGACGCACCTCTACAGTACGCGTACCATAATTTGGCCGTTTCTTTCTACGCCGCTGTTGAACATGAGATGTGCCTGTACTCGTGCTGGGAGCATTAACGCTAGCTGCATTAATTACACTAGGAATAGTATTAACGTTCGGTAAAATAGAAGCCCCGGCGGCTGTAGGTGCACTAGGAGTCGTCTGAGTGGGCGCAACCGGATGATGGTGATGCATTATGTGTTTGTGTGTGTGCTGAAAAATTGTATGGCTTTAGTTTTATCAACGATTGCGTATAAATAAGAAAGTAACACACTAACCTGCAAGAATGCAGTTTCCGCAACCAAACAAATGAACTAAAGGTTTTACTTTAATTTGTTGATTGTATTAAATGGCAAAATGTTATTTTAATTATAATTAGACGTCGTTGCGCAGTCAGCTGGAAAATATAGAGCGCCGACTCAGCCAGGTTATATTCTATTGTGTTGTGTCAAATAAGCGAACATGCCAAGAAATGAAGCTGGTAAAAATCAAGTTTTCGTTACACACCTATTGTGGCAATCTGTTGCTACTTGACTTTTTGCTGCTTCACTCGACGTCTTGAGCAACAATATATGTTTATATGTATTTACTTTTAATAACAAGTTGTTGTAATAGCCTATATCATCATATACTATTTCACAAACACATACATATATTTGCATTGGCCGGGGCTGTCTCTAAACGAATACTTCATTATGACCAACTAGTCCGGTTTTCATTGAGAAAAAATACCGAAGTACCAAAAGAAGACATACGACAAACGTTTGCAAAATTCCTTTCATTAAAACTTAAGTAGTATCATTTCTCACAAAAGTATATGCAAAAACAATATATAATACAATATATATTTGCTATTTTACTCAATAATAATATCACTATAATCAATTTTCAAACAAAAACAATTGGAATGCTAGTTTTTTTTGTTTCAGATGAAGCACTTTTCCACAAACTTTAGGTTTATCTGTAAGTTTTTTACAACAAAAGTTTTTCAATTTGTTATCTTCATTGAGCCACACACCGAAATGATTTTATTTGTTTAAATATTAATTAAATTGTTAAACAATGAACAGCGCAAACGCAACATTCTTTCACGGGTTGGCATTTTTTCACAAACAAGCTACAGAAAATGTCAAATAAGAAAATGGCGAGAATGCAGGAATCGGCAGAAATGATAAAACATGCAGGGTTGCAAATGAAAGTATTTTTATAACAAATAGATACAAACGCATTAAATTAAATGATTAATTTAATATAAATAAACGTAATTAAATTGAAATAAATTAATGGAAGTAAAATAATAAATAATTAAAAAATAAAAATTTGAATAAAGTAATGGGGAAAAATTGAACAAAATGAAATGAAATAAGGTAAAATAAAAATTCATTAAAATGAGATAAATTATATATATCAAAATTAAAAAAAGAAGATTTGAAACAAACTGAAATGAATTAAAGTAAACTAAATTAATGTAGAAATAAAAATAAAATAAAATAATATACAAAAAAAATACATTAAAACAAAGTTAAGACCGATAATATAAAATGATATGAATTAAACCAAATAAAATAGAATGAAATTAAGGAAAATAAGATAGAATTAACAAAAATAAAGTAAAAAAAATAAGATTAATAAAATAAGATCAAATAAAATAAAATAACATAAAGTAGATTTAATTTTATTGAGTAAACTACGAGGCCTGGTTATTTGTATGAATTGAACATTTGTTAAACAACAAAGAAAAATGTTAGACGTGACAGTTGTTTCGGAGATCACCACATCTCCTCATCAAACTTCTTATGGCAGGGATCGAACCAACGGATCGGTAGATTTATTAAAAATTAAAAAAAATGAAATAAAATAAACAAAATAAAGTGATTTTATCACATTTAATTTATTTAAACCAATTAAATTAAAATAAAACAAGACAATGAGATCAGAATAAAATACAGGAAATAAAATAAATTGAATATAATCAATTTAATGAAATATAATAAATCGAAATAATGAAAAAATATAAATAATTAAAATGATTGTATGCAAAACTAAATAAGAAGAAATAAGTAATAATTAAATTAAACAATATAAAAAGAAAAGTAAAATAAATTGAATTAAATTAAAACGGAGGATAATAGAATTAAATAAAACAAATTAAAATTAAGTGAACAAAAATTAATTGAAATACTATGAATTACAATAAAATAACTATATAAAGCAAAATAAAAATATAAAATTAGTATCTATAAATTTCAATAAGTTTAAATGAAATAAAATCAATTAATATGAATGCGTAATGTGCGTTTTGCAACTGTTTTTTTTTTAGAATTCATTGTAGGATTACGGTAAAACGACAAGCAATTTATTTATAATTACGTTGTTAGTAAGCATTAAATTTTTATATTACGAAAATTTGAAATTACATACGCCCACACATATGTACGCATTTATATTAACATAAATTATAAGCCAATTTGCGCTTCAAAACAAATCTCGTGACTGCTGGCGGTTAAACGAAATAAATAATTGGATTTCAATTGAAATTTAAAAAAACGTTTCATTAAATAAATAATGGATTCTCTTGCAAACATTTTAGGGTATATTTTTTGCATATGTATGTATATATAATGCTTCGTTCACGAACATATATATATATATATATACATACATACATATATACATATATTTATATGTATATATATGTATTTAATTAGAAAATGCAATTGGAATTTTAATGGCTAATATTTATAGAACAAAAGAAAAAAAGAAAAATAAAATAAAATAAAAGTGATAAAATTTTTGAGACGAAAAACATAGCTACATACATAAATTAGCGTGTCATTGTTGGTGGGTTTGTTGGAAAAACAGTTCGATACGACACCTCACTCATTGATTATATGTACATTCATTTACTACCATATATCAGCGTACATACATACATACATACACGTATGTACATGTACATGGAATTACGATACGATCGAGTTCGCCGGAAGTGTATAACTGGAATTTTATCCGGCAAATGTCAGTGCCGCAAGATTTCTTCAAACAACGTTGGACTATTCCATTCGTACAACTACACTAAATAATAATAACAAAACCAACAGTTTTTGAATTCATATTCATAGTAAGTTTATTAATTGTCACAAATCCTTGGAAAAATTGTGTTTTACAATATTCGAATAAGTCTTTAAGTGGGTCGATAGACATTTATTATAATATTTATGTATGTATGTATGTACTTGTAGTAAGACTTCATTACAAAACGACAATTTTCACGCCATATTCTCATACGATGAATATAAATGTTAGAGCTTATTGAAATACAAAAACCAAAAAAAAAAGAAATGTCAATAATATTTGTTTGAATGTGTGGCGAGTTTGACTTAGACTCATACATACATGTATGAAAGTAACTTATACGAGTATGTGTAAATTATAAAGTTTTCATTTTAATATAATTAAAATGTTTTAGTAAAATTAAACACAATTTTTTCTTTCTTTTTTTTTTCTTTGCGCATATATGTATATAAATAGTATACATACATATATGTATGTATATTAAGTATGTGATATATGTATGTTTATAAAAAATGTTGTATGCCAATTTTCAATTTAATGCGTTTATATATTATGATATTGTTGCTGTTAGCTAATTTGCATTTACACAAATCACTTTTCGTAATTTACTTTATTGTATATCGTGTTACAATACATACATTTACATCTACATAAAAATTTGTAGGCTTGTATGTATGTTAATAAGTATGTGTCTAATTATAATTAGCTTAATCAAACTAATGTTGTCTAAAAAGCTTACTACTTATTTATGTAGGCAAAATATTAACAAAATATGTATGTATGTCGGCATGTAGGTATATATGTATGTAGGTAGGTATGGGAGTGAAAAAGCTAACATGATCAATACATACCCAAAAGTATATAACTTAGATCTAAATACATATATGTATGTATATTTCCATTTAATACTAAATTTCATTTATTGATTTTGCTTTGTGCTTAATCGCTATTTATGTACTTAAATAAAAGTACAATTTGTTTATTTATAAAAAAAAACGAAAAAAAAAAATTATTAAAAAATGCGAGTCATTAAACTGATAATGCTAATTGGCATTAATTTAGTTTGGTAGCGTTGCGTTTAGTGTTTATTACCTATGCATACATACGTGTATATATACATACTTATGTGAATATATGATGTTCATATGATTGTGTGTTTTTTAACATATAAAGCAGCCATTTATTAAATTGTTTTTATATTATATGCATTTCTGTATATTTTATACTTACATATAGACTCATAAATATATGCATATTTATGTGTGTATATTGTATTTATTTATGCTTTCTGAGTTACTTCTACTGCTTCGCCTAATCTTTGTTAATAAATATGGATGTATGTATTTGTTTTTTTTTCATTATATCATTTTATTGTAAATATATTTTTCTTTTATTGGAAGTAGTATACAAAAAGTAGGCAACAGCAAAACTCGTACAAATATGCATGTGTAAGTGTGCTATGACGCCTAAAAGCATGTTAAAGCGAAGCATATGCCAACGAGATAAAAGAAATGCTTTTTCATAATTTCTAATGCTAATTTATAGTTTATTTTTTTTATATTTCTTCTTCATCAAAAATTTTCCTTCTTTTCTCGTACAAACTTTAGATTTCTTTAGCTGCTTTTACATAGTTTTAGTTGTTATTTTTGTCTATTTTCTTACTTTTTCACACTGTTTAATTGCAGCTTTCACACTCTGTTTAATATTTTAGCGATTTATTGTGTATATTATTGTTTTAATTTTTTCCTTTTCTTTTATGAATTTTATGAATTTAGTTTAATGTAAACTTAAAGGGCGCATTGCTAAAAAATATTCTAAACTTATGTTTATGTTTATTTATTTCTTATTATTCATTATGAATAGTTTATAGTACAATAGGCGGGGAGAAATGCGAGTGCCATCATGGCATAATTAATTATGAAATCCTTTTATAAATATGTATCATAGCTTTATCATATATTTAAACTATTGTTTTTTCTTTTTGTATATATATGTAAATATTTGATGATTTGTGTATGTGTTTTATGACATATGAGATATCAGTAAATGACCTCTTGCGGAAATTGCTTTTCTGCAGGAGTATTGTGAAATATAAAATTAAAAAAATAAAATAAAATAAAATAAAATAAAATAAAATAAAATAAAATAAAATAAAATAAAATAAAATAAAATAAAATAAAATAAAATAAAATAAAATAAAATTTATTAAATTAAGATCAGCACAGGACATCCTTAAAAGCAAAGCAGGAACCTATGAGCAGCGTACATGAATTGGATGAAATCTATGTGGCTGTTGAAACCCAAAACGTATTAGACATAGCGATATACTTTGTCAACTCACAACAACTTTAAGTAAGTCTGCCTATATCCCCACTAAGCTTGATATCAGTAGTTACTTCGATGTGGGTATACCGGAAAGACGTGAATAGAAAACAGATTTTATTGAGGAGAAGGGCACGGATTGTGGTGTAGGGATGGCGGTATCCTCCGAAAATTTTAAAATCTACTTTTCATTTCATCTAACGAACTCTGCTAGTATTTTGCAAGCGGGATTGCCAGTCACAAAAGACTCTACTTGATATCTCCATAAGATGAACTCCCGGCTATTGGAGCATTTTCGGTAAGGAATAACTGATGAGTCGCTATAGTCGAGAGCTTTTCTTTTCCAAGCTGAAGCGAAACAAACACTATGTCCGTTAGTAGCGATCTATATCCAATTTTAAGCCATCGAAACAGATTTAGCGCAAGTTTGATAGGGCAAAACCAAGGGACAAAAATTAGCCTGTCCAATAAAAGTCGTTGCCGCAGCGTAAGAAGAGAATAGAGAAGAACTTATCTCTGAGTTCCCAGCTTTCTTATAAATTTATTACAGTACAGGGGCACGAGACCGTAAGCACAGTAGAAATAAGTAGTGTCAATGATAATATCAAATTGTTTGAAACTAATGATGCAACATACTTAATGACGCATCGAGCGCATTCTAAGATTATTCGAGCAGCACTTTTATATACCTATCTACCTAACCGTTTTCCATACTGGTTTATTCTTCTCAGGTATAACTCGTAAGGGAGGCAGAAAGTTCTATGCTGTAGTTTCCAAAGCTCAAGTCACCACCTGATAAGCTTTTGTAGTTGAGTTCAAAGACAACCAATTGAAAATGGCTAGAGGAATAGCCAAATCCATAATACATAGATGAGGCTCCACGTTAGGTTATATAGAAGGAGAGAGGGGACCAGTGGTTGTGAAATATGACCACGTAGTTTATGGCCGCTCTGTAAGTGGATTTGTTATGACTGAATGATATATTCTTTTCTTGGGCTCCTTGACATAAAAGATAATATGTAGAAATATTTTTTTTTCCGTGCTCCTGAACTGCTCTTTACCTCTTTCATTACACATTACCTGCGCTCCATTGAACGCTCCTTGATCTTTTCATAATTATAATTCACAAATGATTATTTTTTCATTTTCATCCTGTTCTGCTCTTTTGTACCTAAAATATTTATATTTTTCCTATAATAAAACGTATTTCTACACGACATTTCCATTTGGGCAGCAGTTGTCAGGAGCTTACGGAGCGCAGCAAGCCACTGTTTAGTTGTATGACTGCGCCGTAGCATATAAATTTCCGCAATCATTTTCCGAGGTCATGGAATAGTTGGCAGAGTCTCGATCTTCCGGTATGGCTGTATTGACTAGGCTATTTTGCAGCGGATCTTGCAACAGCTTGGAGAAAGTATGATGACCAGCACCAAGTCCCAGATGACCGTATGGTGATTCGGCTGCTTTGGTGACGTGCGGCAGGCGACGCAAAAAATGTGGATTCGAATAGCGTACTCCATTCGGCAATGTGGTGTGCATGCCGGCTGGTGGTGGTGGTGGTGGCGGTGATATGGATTGTGGCTGTTGATATTGTTGTTGCTGCAGTTCGTGCTGCTGCTGTTGCTGCTGCATACGTGCTGTATTAGCACCTGCCATCGCCACCGAAGAATTGGCATATTGCGCTGAACGAAAACTACTGAGGCCACTTTGTACGGGCGGCGGTGGCAACGGTGGCTGTGAATGCATTGAATATGCCGAGGTGGTCATGCCGTAGTTGCCACTACCGCGTGTAGCCACCACCGCTGCATGGTGTTGGCTATGACAGGCAGCTGGCAATGGCATTGTGCTGCAATGATTGGCATAATCGAATTTCTGTTCGGGTGTTGAACGTGTTAGTGGCAGGGTGGCGCTGTTGAGCGCACGATTGCTCGCGCTATTTAAATCGCAACCAAAGCTGGACATACGCATGTTCGTGCAGCGTCCATAGGGTTCCTCTTGTATGGGTGGCTGTGGTGGTTTCGGCGGTGGCTTACAGGCGGAACGTGGTCGTATGACCACTTCAACATCACGCTCCTCACCCGAATGCACGCCACTCGAGGATTCGGAGGGTGCGCGTTCTGGTGGGGAAGTGGTGCTCTCTGTGGTGGATGTGGTGTCGCTGCGCGGTGTTAACGCTTCATTGGGCACACCCGAATCGGCACGACGCAAACAACGCGGCGTGGAGCTGGAGGCGATCTGGAAGGAAAATAATTGGGAAGGTCTATTAAGGTACAAGAATATAATATGTTTTTTTTTCTATGTGCGAGAAGAAAGTCTATAATGAAATTATATAGTAATTACATAGAAACTAGTGTTTATCTCAGACTATTGAGTAATGGCTATATATCTTAGATACATGCTTTATTTTTATATGATCAAATTGAGCTCTCTTTAGCTTTGAATGGAAATAAAATCAGAATGCAAGAATCAAGTCGATTGGTATATCCGCGTCATAGCCCATATTATGTTGAAGTTTTACATGTAAAAATATACAAGTTTCATTATATGTATATATATGCATATAACCAGTATATGGTAATTTTTGTGTTAACGGAGTTCGCCTTCTTACTGTTATTTGATTTAATTTGAACTAAACTTCATCTTATTGTATTCAATTTAGCTTCATTTAATTTCATTTCGTTTTATTTATTAAATTTAAGTTATTTTATTCAAATTTTTTATTTTATTTTATTCTATTTCATTTATTTATTTCTTTTTATTTTATTTTATTTATTTTATTTTATTTTTTAAATAATAATTTGTAGCTTTGTAACCTCTAAAGCGATTTTCGGCCGTCTCCTCCTCCAACTTGTGGTTTTGCGCCTTGAATTTTTTCCAACAAAAACAGGGACTTACGGTTTATACTAAGCTGCCTCTGAACGACTGATGGTTTTCTACGAGTAGCCTTTATTTGATGTCCGAAATATAATGGGAGGGGTTGACATTTCTTGCCGAGCGGCGCCCGTAATTAGAAAATTAACTTAATTTTTTATTTAAATTAATTTTCTATAACTTTTGAATATTATGTACGCTATGCTAACCACTCTGACATGGCGGCTGCCATTTAATTTTATTTTATTTTATTTTGTCTTATTTAATTTAATTTAATTCATTTTTACTTAAGTTTGTTTTATTTTATTTAATCTCATTTCACAATACTTTATTTTATTTCAAATCATTTTAGTCTTTATTACTATATTTTACTTCACTTCATTTTATTTCATTTTATTTTTGATATCTTCTTTTTGTTAGAATTTATTTTATTTTTTATTTTATTTCTTTTACTTTTATTTTTTTATTTAATTTAATTTAATTTAAACATATTAATTTTATTTTTATTCCATTATATTTTATATTATTTTACTTAACTATTTTTTTTTAGTTTTTTTTTAATTTAATTCATTTTTTATTTATATTATTTAATTTATTTATATTTTACTTCATTTAATTTAATTAATTTAATTTAATTAAATATTAGTTATATAATTTTCTTTATTTTCTTTGCTTTTATTGAATTTTGATAATTTTTTATTTTTTATAATTTTTTTAATTTAATTTAATTTTTTAAATTTAAATAAATTAATTATTTATATATTGAATAAATTCTTTTATTTAATTTATTTATTTTTAGTTTATTTAAATTTAGTTTCTCTAATTTAATTTAATTTTTTATCTTTAATTTAATTTTTTTAAATGCAATCTAATTAAATATGTTTTTTTTATTAATTTATTCATTAAATTTAATTTTTTTGTTTTTTATATTTTAATTAATTTCATTTTGTTCTTTGAATAATATTTCATTTTTGTTTTTAATTCGCTATATTTTATTAATTTTAATTCTATTTCATTTTATTTATTATTATTTAAAAGTTTTATTTTTATTTTATTATATATATTATTTTAACATTAATTAAATAAATTTTTGTATCTTTCAATAGTTTTGAGAAAATTTGTGATTTCGTTATCTCTTTTCGACGGTAATTTTCCTTTACCTACCGACTTAATACACTAAAAATCGCAACAATTATGCTAATAAGCAAGTTAAGCCGCTGAGCAATTAAGTTAAATGTAAGTGGAGTAGCTTCAAAGCAAAATGTAATGCTCAACAGCGAAGGCGAATCATTATTGCTCTGAATGCCAGTGAATGTTAATCATACGCACCGGTGGCACTTATCAACCACAGCCAATAATTGAGAGATTTTAAGCAGGTAATACACACACACACGCGCGCACATATGCATTTGTGATACAGTTTCTGCTAACCCGACTTTGCCTTAAGCTACATATAAATATACATTACCATATACTTATGTGATATTCGATTAGTCATCGATTAGTTAAGCATATCTATACACAATTGGCTTACCTCCAGTTTTGCGTAATGGAAAATTTAAGCAATTATTGCAATATCTACGAGCGGCAACAGCAACAAATCATTGTTGTCACACTTTAATTGAAATGAAATTTGTGATAATAAATGAAAGCATAACTGAGAACTGAGCAAGAGGTACAAATGTATGTATGCATGTATGACGTGAAGGTTGCATGCGAAGAAGTCCAAGCAGAGGTAATTGACGTATACACGTATTCGTACATACTCGTATGTACAGTGTGCTTTGCTAATATTCAAACATTATGCTATGTGTCGAACGCATACAACGATTTGTTGTTGGTGCACTCTGTCATTCCTGCAATGTGACTGCTGTGATAAATGTGAATTAAACGTGTGGCAAAGTTCACCGCAAAAACAAACGTAATAAATCCAGTTTTTCACTCTCCTCTTGATGGTATTACAGTCGTCTGTAGAATGCAAATCACTTGATTTGACCCTGTCGGTTTGTATGCCTACTGCTTTAGTTTTATTTTTTATTTTTTGCTTGAATATTTTATAAGCATTTGCACCAATACAGTGGTGGCCGACATAGGCGAGTAGCTAGCAGTGCGTTCAATTATGCGTAGAGCCGTAGGTGCGAACGCTGACCACAAGCAAATCCAAATTACGGAAAATTAACTGAAAAAAATTCCATATCCCATCGTCCCTCGGCAGGGAATATCAACCCTTCTGAATGTTTTTGGACACGAAACGAATGCTCACCCAGGAAAATGCATCAGCGGTTTGGAGGTGGTTTGGTATTATCAATGCAAGAAAAGCTTGGCCAAAAATCACTTAACCATATATAAAAACGCCAATATTATTTATATTTATATTAAATATATGAGTTTGCCAAAACAAAAATGCGTGTTTGTGTGTACGTGAGTGATATTGGTTTTTACGGCTTTTCTGCTTCCTTTTGGTTTTGAAAATGGCCGTTCGTGTCCAAATTGCATTTTGCCGGCTCAAATTGCTTGTCGCCATCATCGGACACCTCGGACACATGGTCAACATATGTTTTGGTAGCCTATTCGAGCAAATATGCCTGCCTCCACTGAACTCAGTGCGGCTACATTCACTCTTCCGTTTTAAAATTTATGTATTCGCATAAACATCTTTGTGCTATGTAGATATGTGGTTGTGTGAGTTTTTAATTGATGGACTTGTTGCGGAAATTGTCGCAATAAAAATGTAATAAATTCCGTAATTGCCATTGTTCGATTGTAGGTTTCTGCACATTACCATATTTCCAAAAACAAAAAAAAAAAAACAACAAAAAAAAGGAAATTTTATTTCCTTAGTTAATGGACGTAGAGTTTTTAAGCGAGATTGTAAGATATATGTAATAAAAAGAACTCTTCTGTGATGCCTCTTATACCCAAGCAAGAAAGAGTTCTTAAGCGAATGCTGCAAGCTGAAGGGTATTTCTGCTTTAACCTCAGGTTCGTCAGTCGCATTCATCTGATGTAAATGTCGTCAGCATACGTCAGAGGCTGTGTACTATACACTTATAGAAGATTGTACCTTCTCTATTCAGCACTGCAGCTCCTGTTATTTTCTCCTGCAATTAATTATAGATATGAACGTTATGTATTAACCTCGTTTGGTATCGAAATCTTTCCGATTCTGATGGAGCTTTTGATGTTGCTTAACGCCAGTTTACGCAGCCGTAAACAAAACTTAGCGGTGCCACTAAATTCAGACAAAGTGGAGTAAAAACAGCTCCTTTTCATGCAGTACGAAGCTGCTTTTAAAATTAACAAAGCGATGGTCGATACAGACACGTGTCTTTTGACTTGTTGAATGGCCAAGGGTGAGATTTCCAGGTCAAAGGTCACACTGAGAATGTCCAATCAGATTGTTGACTATGCGCTTTAGCCTTTCATACAATACGCTCGGTAGATCTTTATATGCGACACTGAGTAGGCTTGACCTACGGTCTTTTTTTCTTCATCTTCATTTCACTTCAGGTGGTTTTGTCATGTTGATGATCATTGAGATCATGCACCTGATCCCTTAGATGAAAAAGTTGTCGCAGTCCAGCTGATTGATGTCCGCTTAAGAGTAAAAGCTGATGGACGAGACAAACACAAAGACGAGTAGGTACCTTTCGACTTTTACGACAGCGTCAATATAAATTTGCGTTAGTTTGGTTTCGAATTCGTGGTGCAAGAATCTGAGTAACACCGATTCCTGGTATTAACCGTTATGAATGAATGTATGGAAGTGAAGAACAATGTGTGAAGAACAATGTGTCTAAGAATGCCTTTTTTGAGCACCTATAACGAACTCATGAGCGCTATTCTCGCTCGGTACAGCAAATGGGTTGAGACTGATCGATTTTGCCAAGGCCCGAATGTGGTTGTCTGTAGTAAAAGGTTCTAATACAAGAAAATTTTTTCAAGCTACTTGGCTGTCTTCCCATCGAGAAACTAACAACCAGATCGATCATGTTGTGGTAGACGGGCAACATATCTGCACAAACCAATGCCTTGTATCAGCAGCCGGCTCTGAGCAGCAAAGCATGACCGTAAGCAAACACAAGGAATGTTCGATGTCCAAAAGCAAACGAAAATGTTTATTATTCGGAAGGTCGAAAGAACAGCTGGTTCGATGTGGATATCAGTGTCGCAGTAGAGAGAAAGCAGACTGCCTACTTAATGTAGCAAACGAGAATTGAAAAGCTAGGCAAGACGCATATGGAGACAAAGAATGAAAGTGACCGAGATGCATAACAATGAAGTCCTTGGGAAGTTGGACAATAGGAATAATCCTTAAAAAGTCTATGAAAAGATGCGCCGGCTTACATAAGGCCTCAATACCTAAGTCTACTCTTGTATTTAGGATACAAAGAGATGATGTGGCAACTGAATTTATGAAGGGAACACTTTTCCACACTGCTGAATGGCAGTAAAAATGAAACATCAGGAGACGGTAAACCCGATTCCCCGATGGAACAGATTTTCCATTGTACGACTATGAGGAAGTTGTCATAGCCATTGCCCGTATGGAAAGCACTAAGGCGGAAGCGGATAATCCTTTTTTAATATCACACATAAAGTCTTACCGACTGCGTGATATAAAAGACAGTACAACAATCGCACCGTTAGTACTGCTTTTTCTCCTGTGACCAAACCAACAGTCATCGCATGTGCGGCTCATAAATATCTGTTGACAGTCATAACTTTTGGCTGAGAAGGCAAGGCTTTCTCTCGGCAAAAGAAAACCAAACTCTAAAAGTGTCTTATCGTTCCAGTCATGCTATATGTTGCGGAGGCACGGACGATGACAACATCTGATGAGTCGGCGCTAGGAGTTTTTGAGAGAAAGATTTTTGAGTTGTGCAAGATATGCGGCGAAATAGACATAATTAGCGTATCAAAAGTCAGCAGCTACGTTTTCCAGCGCGGTGAATTGACTTTCGGCTGAACTTCTCCTCCAACAAATGGTGGGACCGATGGATTTTTAGGAGGAGCTTTTGGTTTAGAGTCAGAAATACATTCGCAGGGCTTGACATTTCCTGTCGAAAAATTAATTAAATTTTTTATTTAAATTAATTTTCTATAAATTTGGATATGGATTTAATTGAACCTCGGTCATCCGTATGTCAGCACGAAATACTAACCACTCGGCTATTGTGGCCACCATTCCATTCTATTATAAGCGCATTATAAAACTATGAGTGGGTAATACCGTTATGATTTGTTTGCTTTAATTATTACGTTTTCACGCGAAAAGCCCAAACTGCATTTGTGTGTTTATTGAATACTAAAATGGCCTGGGAATAATTGTAATCATAAATAAATTGAAAGGAAATGTCAAAGTGTTCAATCATTCGTTCATCCGTTCATCCGTTCAACCGTTCATCCGTGCATTCACCATTCCCTATTCAGTATTCATTTCAAGTAACAACAATGGATACATACACATATACAAATATTACTATTCTTTCTTTGTTTTGCAGAATAGCGGTAATTTATAGTTATACAAATACAATAAATCTCTTTACATATGAACGATGGATGCTGTGAATGGATGTGCATACTTACATGCGCTTCGTTGGTGTGCACGGTGACCGTCACCGGTGCCAATGGACTGACTAGATGCTCCGGCGACGATGATAGTTGCATATTCTCCGGTATGGCCTGTGGAGCACGCCCTGCTATGTCAGTTGCGGTGGTGCCCCTACCAACGCCAACACCACAACCACCCCCACTACCCATGTCCATTAAACCATTAACGTCATGTTTGCTGATATGTATATTGCCTTGTGCCATCGACTGCTGTTGTTGCTGTTCGGCATCACCTAACAGTGGTGGTGGTGGTGGTGGTGGCGGCGGTGGTGTTGTTGCTGTTGGTGGTTCCAAGTCGCGTGTCGATGCATACGTCACACTATCATCACGCACACAAGCCAAGAGCTTACCCTCCTCCGAGGTGCTGTCATCACCAAAGCTACCACCGCTCTTGGCATAATCTGTTCGTGCCGCTGATGAGTGATTACCACACATGGCTGCTGATGCAATGTGCTGTGGTTGCTGTTGTTGTTGTGGTGGTAGTGGAGGTGGTGGTGGTAGCTCATCATATTCACTGAGATGTAATAGTTTCATGCCGTGTGCACCAGTGGGAGTTGGACTGTGATTGTTGGTGATGCCGAGGTCGCCGCTGCTGATATGTGTCTCATTGCCACAGCCGATCGTCATGACAGGGTCGATGTTGTTTTTATTACTCGCTGCTGCTGCCGCTGCTGCTGCTCCCGTTGGTAGTCTGCTGCTCAGACTGGTTATGGCCATGTTGGCCATGATGGCAGCGTTGGCAGTTCTTAGTGTCGCATATTCTCCGTCGTCAATTTCCCCCGCAACACTGGTAAAACATATCGCGGTTCCACGGGGCGAATGGCTGTACAATTTCGAATTTTCACACCGTTAACGGTTGGTTGGTCCGTCGCAAAGTGCAGCACAAGGTTAAATGGGTGGTAAAGAGGAGAAAAGAAAGAGAATCTTGCATAATTTATTACTGTTATGGTTAAGGTTATGATGCATTTGTATACGCCAACGACATAAGCGTACATTTGTATGTACATATATCTAAATGTATATTTCAAAAGTGCACAGTTACATATACATATATGTATGTTTGCTTATATGTATGCATGTATGAAAAAAGCAATTGTTTTTTGTTAAGTTTTGGCTCAAAAGCAGTGGGGGGATTTTCAACAGACTTTCAGCGCAAAAGCCAATGAATAATTTAGTCCGACAGAGGTCGCATAAGTCGAAATATCATATATCATATAGCCATTACAGCTCCACGGAAAACCACACAGAACAAAGGTTGAAACAACAAAAGGCTGCTCCCTTAGACGTGTGGTTTTCAAAGAGGCAATACTTTTTTGCAGTTAGTCTCTTGCACAGCCGATAGTTGATTTATACTCAATTTGGTTTGGCATTTCATGAGGAGTCGACTTGTTCTTGAACATCATTTGTATCACGGGGTGCTTCCAATATGCGGTCGATACAATTGTCCAGTAGATTCGGGTAATACGAACAACCAGGTATCGCTTATACTAGAGATAATGCGCATCCTCAAAGACGTCACTGCTTTTATGGAGCAGAGTTTCGAAGTAATTTCGAAAGAGTTCATCTGCTATCGTGCGCAATAATTGGAGCTGTGCCCATCCGTTTTATGGAAGATTTTGCGAAAGCATCTTGGTTCGCGGGTTTAGAAAATCCAACTCGAGCACGAATTGATACCGAACGACCATCAAGCGCGTCTTACGTTTAGTGAATGGACCTAAAACGAGGTAGGTATCGATTTTCACACGAAAATTTTGTTCAGCAATGCAGCTCATGATAATGCAAAATAATTTTCTGAGACGACCTTACTGTCACTGTTTGAGGTGCTCCATTGGCAGAGGGCACCATTGGTCCATATTTCTTCAAAAACAAATTCGGCCAGGAGGATGTTGATGTGAACGACTTGATGTTTTTCTTACAAATGGAGGGACCTACAGCCTCCAAACGGCTGATGCTGTTACTAAAGAAGTTGCTAACCCGATGAAATTTAACTAAATTTCAATTTGGTTGATTCTATTTTATTTTATTTAAGGAATGGGGAACACTCATGTGTTATTTTGAAGAAATTGAAAGAGAACTCATATTTTTAACTGCTCTATATCTACCGAGAAAGTCAGAAATATACAATAGATCATGAACATTTTTTGTTTAATGCTGGGGAGATTAATACCAGCTGCAGAGCTCAACTGAGCTGGTGCAGGTCGTTGATATTGACATCAACTACCGTGAAGCGAGTAATGCTTTCTCCAGACTGGACGAGGTAGCGAAGCGTATGGGTCTAGTAATAAATAAGGGCTAGACGAAATCTCTCCTGTCATAAACAGTCATTACATTCGCCACTCGGCTATCACATTATTGTTGACAGCCATAACATCGAGGACTTATTTAATTGCGTGATTTAACTTCTTTTTGCTGAGATCCAACGCAGTATCCAGCCGATACTACTTTGAACTGAGTTGACCCGTGAAACTTAAATTCCTCATCATTCACGTTTCATTTGATAATTCGGAAGCGTGGACGTTGACAACGGTGAGTGGACATTGGAACTTATCGAAAGAAAGGTTTTGGGTAAGATTTATGGTCTTCTGCATCCTGGAATGATGAGCTTTTCAGATATAGAACGAAATTGACATAGTTCAGTGTATTAAGAGACAGCGAATACGCTTTGGAAGCTTTCGACGCAATGCCCGCCATTAGAAGCAGAGAAAGAAGAAAGCTGACAAGCTCAAGTGGAGATTAGAAAGAAAAGATTAAAAAAATGATGCGCTGTTGTTAGTTCGGCCCACTCGTCGGTTCGGAGGCGACTTAGATTAACCTGTTGGTCTCTTCATTTTTTTTTTTTTTTGAGTAACACCGCCGAAAATCTCTTCAGCGTTTACCAAGGGTTATACCAAGGGTATACTGCTGTGGGCAGCTCATTCAAATTTCTGAGTGTCTTATTTTATAACTATCTAATATTCGGAGAGAACTGAAAATGTACTTGAAATATAAAACATAAACTTATTTTAAAAAAAGTTTTGAATTATTTTCTATAAGCTAATATGCTACTATCACAGGTACATACATACGAACATACATATATATATGTTTAGGTAAATACTATGTGAATATGAAACTGTTATATATCAATATTTATGTTAGATAATTGGAATATATTGTGTCAATATATAGATTCATTGCATGTTCCATGGAAAACGAGACTGCTCAAAAATATTCCATATATCACTGGTCTCTCCTATTTTGATCACAAGAATTCTTAGGGGATTTTTTGTATCTAACTATGCGCTCAGAATAGTTTTTTTGCGGCTTCTGCATACTCATTTCTGACCTCTCATACGTTTTGGATTAATAAATTCGTGAATATGCCGCGAAAGTGTTCTAAGAACACCGAGTTGAATGTTAGGTGTGTGAGATTTCTATTAATAATAATAATAATTTGTAGCTTTGTAACCGCTGAAGCTATTTCCGGCAAAGCTCCTCCATCCAATTTGTGGTATGCGTCTCGAAATTTTGCCTACAAATGGAAGGACTTACAGCTTTAACTAAGCCGTCTCAGAAAAAACGTTTCCTATATGTTTGTGGATATTGGTCGAAATATGACCCTTGCCTTTAGAATCACAGTACGCATTCTATTTTCCATTCCTGCACCACTGATTTGGACGGAACCAAGGGGTCAACTAAGGGATTATTTTTTTATTTAACTCAAATAAAAGGCAATAAAACCATGCTCAAGCACACTATCTATTATCCACTATTCGAACTTGCCTTCGGCCAGAAGACCCATCCCACATAGTGACGGTCGGCCTGTGTCAAAATCTCCGAATCGATCATAAAGGCTGAATATAGTCAGCACGTTACGATATCTCAAAGGCTGCAACTGACAAAGACCTCTGAAGAAAAACTGAATGACCAGAAAAAACTTGCGTTACATTATATCACTTAGTAATCTTCTGTGTTACATCTCATGTGATGTGAATAAGGAATGAACGCAAGGTACATAACGTCAAAAGTAAATGTGTTTTTCAAACCAAGACTGCATTCGGCTTCGGTTGAGATATTTTTAAATATACGAAAAGCTGTCGTAACTGTTAAATCGTTAACAGATGAGGTTAAATCCTTAACAGATGATGTTAAATCGTTAACAGATGATGTCAAATCGTTAACAGACGAAGTTAAAACGTTAACAGATGATGTCAAATCGTTAACAGATGATGCCAAATCGTTAACAGATGATGTTAAATCATTAACAGATGATGTTAAATCGTTAACAGACGAAGTTAAATCGTTAACAGATGAGGTTAAATCGTTAACAGATGATGTCAAATCGTTAACAGATGATGTTAACGTCAAAATTGAAGTGTGTTGTTAGTAAGCAGTCAATTTAAAATTAATATTAATGCTGAGTTTTGTACGATTTCAATGTTAACGATTTCTTTTGTTTTGAAATTATGGCGCCGAAAGGATACGATAGCATGTCAAATTTGAATTAATTTCTTATTAGCGAAACTAAGTGATAAAGTTGGCTTTGTTGAGCATCACTATTTCGAACAGTCTCGTTTTCCAAGGTACTAATTTTTCATTCATATGCATTTGTATTAGTAAACTACAAAATATAATTACATACATACACATAATGTTATGTAACGGCATTTTTTAGTAATATTAGTTTCATACATTCATATTTATAAATACATATCTATGCACCGGTTGATAAGTTCATAGAATATGTTAAATAAATTAATTAAATGAAAAAATCTATTGTTATCTATGTAACATTACATACACGTACATACATACATATAACTAGTATAAATAAATTTTAATTAATATAAAAACAGGCGACAAGCGGAACAAAAATAGTCTCTTATTGTCAAATACATGACCAATACTTTTACAAAAGAGTGTGTCTGTCTGCGGTGTGTGATTTAATCAAAATTTAAAAATGCTTATATCAGTACATACATACATATATAATAATATGTATGTATTTAACTATTTTCTATGCAAACGAACAACAAATGTGGCAAAGAAGCGCGAAAATTAAAAAAAAAATAAATAAAAATTAAACAAAAAACTAGAACAATTTTTTAAATTAATTTTTATAAATGCAATGTTATAAATATGCGCATAAATAAGCTAATATTTACTGTTAGATATGTATGTATATTAAATGAAATTGTTTGTGAAATTGGAAGCCAAAATTGTGTGCGCTCAAATGAAATTAAAAAATTAAATTTGTTTCTTTGTTTTTTTCTTTTTTCTATATGTTTGAATGTGCGAGAAGTTGCAACGGTATTTTTAAATCAAATATCACTTGCTAAATTATCACACACATATGTACGTTTGCCAATATGCGTAAATAGCATACGTTTCGATTGTTTTATCGATTTAAACGCATAAAATGATGAAAATGTTTTTTTTTTTTGGTGGTTAAATATTATTTAGTGACAACAAAAACAAATGAAAAAATCAGTGACGTGCATTGAGATTAAAAATTTCTGTTATTTATGTTAATGAAATGGAAATGGAAATCAAAGGGTAAGAAATGAAAAACAAAGGACATGAGTACACATACATACACATATTTCATATTAAAACTTTGTGTAAGATATATTGAAATATTTATTAATGGAGGCTGTTGAAACAATAGGAATTTCGTTTGAATTATAAAATATGAAAAATGCAGCAAAAAGGTAAAATTATTTATTTAGATTTGGAAGAAAAAAAAACGCTCTGCTCTTGAGTGGGAAAAAACCTCGATTTTCGTTTGGTATAAACTCAGAAAAAACATTCTTGGGTGTGAATTCGGTCCAGTTTTTTTGTGTTCAGAAAAGTCTTTTCTTCCATAAAGAAAGAATTTCAGCTTTTCCATGTAGTTTTTGACTGTTACAGCTACGTGGGGTCGCGAATACTTATGTTGCAAAATCAGCTTTCAATGCCTTTCAATCGTTTCTGGACGGGTTTCAAGCAATGCACGGCTAAAACGCATTAGTTGTTGGCGATAATATTAGGTCAAGTAAAAAGTTTGCTGGGTTTTTTTTATTAATTCTTGAAAATATGATAACCTTTGTACATTTGTCAGATTTAAGTCAAATATGCGCCGTTTTGTTCGTAAACTTGTTACCAACTTGTTCGTTATATCCCTCTTGTAGAAGACGGCGTATTGGAAAAAACTCGGAGAGCCAATTTTCAATGGCCTCTCTTGAGGCCAACTTCTCACCATTAAGCGTGTTCGCCATGGACAGGAAAAGAAGGTAATCACTTGGTGCCAGGTCCGGACTCTAAGGTAGGTGCATTAGGACCTCCCATCTGAGCTCCTGGAGCTTCTGGCGCGTCACCAAAGACGTGTGTGGCCAGGCGTTGTCCTGATGGAACACAATTCGGCCTCTGTTGATCAAAGATTGCCTCTTCAGGATGAGTGCTGCCTTTAAGCGGTCGATTTGTTGGTAGTAGAGGGGCGAATTGTGTGTTTGGGCATAGGGGAGCAGCTCGTAGTAGATGATTCCTTTCCAATCCTACCAAACACACAGTACCAACACACAGCCGTCAATCCGGGCTTGGCCACGACCGTTTGTGCTCGATATTGTTGGAAGTAACCAGTCACAATACGCTTTAGAAAAACCGACGAACTTTTTACTTGACTTATTATAATGAAGGTCGATATGTACTGAATTAAAAAATTTTTTGAATAAAGAAATGTATGAGGTTGTCATTCAAATGGTCGCTACCTCATCGAGACGAACGTATCTCGTGCAGTCTAATACCCTTTAAAAATCCACTCACGAGCAACTAACAGCATAAACGGAAGGCAAAATTTGAGCGCAAAAACAAAAGTAAATTTTGCAAAAAAAAAAAGAAAAAAACCAAAAAAATATTTGCGGTGCATTTTCACATAAGTTATGTGTACTAATATGTATTTGTTGTTGTAAGTAGTATACTTGTTTTTTCTGTAACATTCGCAATTTTTTTCTCTTGATGTTTAATTTTAAAGAAAACGATTTTTTACCGCTTGCCATCGTTTTGTTCATGGTCACCAATTAGTAGGACATCATCAGACGTACTCGGTACTTCATTGAAGGTAACCTTCAATTTCGGTGAGCTCGGTGTCAGCTTAGGCCAATACACATCGTCGGTGCCACCATCAGTGCTCGACTCAGTGCTTAATTTGCCCCCACGACCGCCGCCAACACCACCACCGCCGTTACTGCTGCCCAACATTGCTGAGCCCTTTTGCTCCGCACTGCCAATATTACTGCCGCTGCCACTAATACTACCCGCACTATGTAGACTACTGCGATTTGCCATCAATAACGGTTGGGTGGTGGCTTTTGTAATGCCATATGCGTCCATAGGTGGTAGTTTGAAGGTCCAACGACGTTTGGCTGTTAAGACCAGCCAAATGACAATCCACAGTAGGAGGTGTGCAACGCTGATGAGTGCTGGAAACGAGAAAGGGGAAAATAGAGAATAAAATGAATAGACAATTTTTAGATTTTTAGCTTGATATGAGCGTGTGTGTGTGTATATGAAAGTATTATGCGATCGAAAGTTTAAACTGTACGTTACTAGTAGGGGAAAAAGGTAAGATTAAACTACAGCGGCAACATCAAGTGCCAGTCGATTGTTGTCAATTACTGTCCAGGCAGCCAGTAAATGCTCCAATTGGATTTGACAAGTGGCCATCAGTGCCGTTAGCCCTCCACACACAGATTATATAAACCTTCAAACGCTGGCTTTGTACTTTTTCTCCATGGCTTAGCAATTTTTTTCTCTATTTCTAGCTTTTAGAACAGTTAAGTGTTGTAGGGTTGCCATCCACACAAACTTATAGTACATTTTTTTTACTAGCGCCAGCAATAGCCGAGTGGTTAGCGTTGTGTAGTGACATTCAGATGACCAGGATTCTGCCCTGCGAGTTTATTTCTGACATAAAAAGCTCCTCATACAAATCCGCCTGTCGTTCGGAGGCGGCTCAAAATAAACTGTCCCTTCATTCTAGGAAAAACTTTAAGACGCCCACAGACGCTGATTTAACGAAGAGTTCGTATTAAAGGCACTGAGTTATGAATGAGAGACAAATCAGTGGAAACTTCAAAATATTAGTTAAACACGAATTCAAACCAAGCTCTACAGTTCGATGCGAGCCAATTATGTTCACTAACTTCAAATGACTTCGGAACACGAATTCCCCACAGGAAGGAATGGAAGAATATTATCCAAGTTCTGGGCGGCAACATAGTAATGTGCACAGAACTTGAGCGAGAGTCGGCAGAGCTTTTTTCTCGAGGAAACTTTTTATGGAACTCTCTTTCAGGCTATCTGACTGTGATTTTAAGGAAGATATATGTATCTTCTACTATGGAGGTAGCAACAAGCTTTAAAGATAAGGATATCTTATTTTTCTGCACTGGGAGCTTACACTAAATTCCAAATTTGCTGCGAACTGTCGCAGAACTCTAAAGAAGATGACTGAATTGAATAGATTGTCTCTCACGTGTGTCTTTGATTACAAAAGTGATGCACTTTTTAAGCAAAGTACGATCAAACAGAGTCCTTCTGACAAAGAACGCATTGGTATGACTTCTCCATCAATTTACGAAATCAAACTACAATCTGCCGAGATGAGTACTGCTTAAATGTATGAGGCATGTCCAAAGTAGTAGAAGTCCTGATGGGATGGCTTGCGCGGAGACTAGTGATTTTTCAATGGGAGACGCTGCATCAACTGTAAGATGAGAAGGTGAAAACAATAACCTAAAATCTGTGTTGGGTAGTGTTAATTTTCCTACAGATCCTATAGATCCTACAACTAGATCGTTTATCGAAGAAGATGCAGACGTTAATGTTATGAATCTAATGAGGATTAAAATGATTAGATAACGGAGCCTAAAGGTCAGGTTTTTGCAGCATCGCAATGGGTCAGACCTAAGTGTAGCCGTTATGATGGATTAATAGCCACCACTACCGAAGCTGACATAAACATCTTTCACATAAAAGTTTTGGGTTTACTTTGCGCATGAGCTAGGTATAAAATCAATTAAAGATCCATAACTTCGATTTGGGTTATAAATGCCCAATATATCTCAATTGGCAAAATCACTTGAAGGCTTCTCTTCATCTGGAAACATTGTCCTGACGAACTGCTTTGTGTAGCTGTAGAAGCAATAATCCTTAACACGGGCTATTTCCGGTCAGCGTCTGACTTTGCTTCACTGTTCATGAGTGACGGGGTCATCTTCGCTTAGATTAGGAGCAGTCTTGTCTCTACTTCTATGGTTCAATGAGCACGCTATTCGGCAACTAGATAGCACTGGTTGTGATGTGGTAGTATATTGCCCTAACAGCTTTTACTCCCAAGCCCTCTATACATATTTAGTAGGAAACTGGTGCAAGGGATACGGGCTGGTTGTCAGTCTAGCGAAAACCGAAGTGGTTCTTTTTACTTCCTTTTACTGCACTCTACGCATGTAAAGCGGGTATGGTAAGAAATGGAGCCCTAAACCGTCTATTGTTCTTTAGATTTACGCAAAGTTCAGCAGAGCCGCCTGTGGTGGGTATTCTGTATAGGGTGGGCTTAGAAACAGCCCATACCTGGCCCCGTGTGATTATTACCTATTTCCAAAAATGAAAATCAGAGAGAAACAAGTGAATCTTGTTGGAATGAAGCCATGAATGCACAGCTTACTATTTAATTTGATTTAAAAGGAAATAAAACTAATTTCCATTTAATTTTAATTGGCAACCCTACAACTAAAATTATGTGTTGGCTTTGCTTAATGCGATTTAGTTTCAATTGCAAGAATTGTAATTTCTCTCTCTTTTATTTTTTTTTTAATTTTTTTTTTTTTGCCTTTCACTAATTTCAAATTTTTCCTTGCTAATTGGTTTTGACAGGTCATCAGCGCTTTCAAGTGCAGATTTTTCTGTTTTCAACTTCCCAATAAGAAAGACAAGTGGGATGTACGCTGAGAGAGTTACTGGGAAACCGAAGTGAAAAGAAAAATAAATTTATGTAATTTCAGTGATTGGTTATACTCAATGTGGCCGAGCTCACCCTTCGCTCAGAGGGGTTGACATTCCCTGCCGAAGAGCCACTGCAATTATAAAAAAATAAATTTCTAACATATTGGATGTTAGCCAAGAGTCAAGCCCAATAATGGCATTAAATATGGATAAAACTTTTACTCTGGAATCATAATGATCATCATTGGAAGGGAAGTAGTGAACAACAACAAGCACATCAGAAATTGGAAAGGTTATGACCTCGGTATTTTGGTATGTGCGGAGTCTAATACCCACAGACTATCTTAAGAGCAAAAGCCACTCTAGAGGTTGAAAAATTTACTAATTTTTTATTTTATGGTGAAATGAATAGAATTTCAATTTAACCATTTCATATGTTGAAGTATAAAAAAATATTCTTTAATTTTTAATACGCCTTAATTATCAAAAAAAAAGTTTACATTTAGTCGAAAACGGCTACGTACTTCCAAAGAAGTACTATCATATGGATGAGTGCATAAGTTCGTGCCCGATTTCAAGTGCAAACTAAAATTGAAATTTTTTGAAGAAAGGGCTTTTATTAATCAATTATGTATTCGCCATCATGTTCGGCAATCCACTCCCAACGTTCAACCAATTTACGGATGCCTGATTCATAGAAATCGCGCGGTTTCTCGTTGAAAAAGGTGTCAAGGTGGTTTTTGACGTCTTCCACATTTTT